AATGAAATTGTTCACATGCTCTTTTTATGTGTGCCACTTGCAACACTCTTTTTATGCACAGAAACAAGCACCTCATGCCTGATTTCAGCGATTTGCTACCCATATCACCGAGATGGGTTTTACTCACAGCCGATGTGATTCCTCTATTTATTTTTTACGGGGGCTCTTAGATTACATACTTACTTCTATATGTGGATGACATTATCATCACTGCTTCCTCTGCAAGCCTATTACTGTAACATCCCAAAAAAAATACCCAAAAATTTCATTTTAAATTAATAAAAACAATATTCCAAACATAATTATAAATCCCAAGTGGAAAAAATATATCAATACATCATCAAATATCATAGTAATCATGAAAATGTGGAACGATATCATGTTTGCACTACAATCACCATGAGTTCTTCCCCTTTGCACTAGAAGTACCTGAAACATAAACTAAAAACCATAAGCATGAAGCATAATGAGTTTTCCCAAAATACCACATACCATACATATCAAACACATAATGGGCCCCATCCGATAAGTGTAATGGGCCCCGACCAAACTCACATAACGAGCCACACCAATTGAGTATAACGTGCCTCCCCTAACTTGCATAACGGGTCCCACCGAGCATACAAACATATAAGTATAACAAAGGTAATAGCATACAAAAGAACCATCGGGCCTCTCCCAGTAAGCATACAAGCACATATACATGCAAGAGTCACACATACATCTAGCATCCTAACATGACAAACCATGGGTCGTCATTGGTGGCTTCGACCCGCTAAACATGGAGAGCAAGACTCACAAAACTGTTGAATCACACAGATAAATCTCTGGCTGCTGGTCCGACAAATCTCGGCGCTATCAATACCAATAAAATCCAATTAATAGTTGTATTCCAATCCATAACTATCAATGTATACTAGGGTAAAAGACCATTTTATCCTTACCTAGTTTGGCCCAAGAACAAGGCCCAAACCAACTACATAAATGGCCCAAATTCTAAAAGGGTCACCCACAGCCCAATCATGGCCCAATTTTCCAAATTGGGCCCAAATCCCTACGTGAGCCTTCAACCAAAAGAACCCAACATAATGAAATCAATCCAAAAATGGAATTTTGATGGCCCAACAAGAACCTAATCTCCTAAGGTCCAAAACATGAGCTAAAAATATGAAGCCTATCTGCTGAGTACACAGGGCGTACTCAGCTCGTACGCTTAGCATACACCCTCTTCTCCAAGGATTGAGTCTTCAATCTTCTTCTACCACTTCAAAATATACAAAAACACACCAAAATGCTTCACAAGAGATCAAAAGCACCAAAACAAAGTCTAAGGGTGATATTAGGGTTTAGATGATAGGGAGGGTGGTCTAAAATGTCTAGGAGATGAGTTAATGATGCTTAAATAGGACATAAACCCTAAAACTTAGGGTTTGTCCCAAGCCTATGTACGTCATGCGTACTCCACGTACTACCTGTATACGTCGGTGGAACCTGTGATCAATATCAGGGTAGTACGCAAAGCGTACCACCTAGTATATCCCGCGTACTAGCTAAAGGACCAAATTATGAACTTTTTGATAAACAAGGGTTAAATACAAAATTTACCAAATTCAAGTGTTACAATTCTCCCCTAGTAGAATCAGACTTCATCCTTGAAGTACGCTGCTCCAAATAACTCCTAGTAGTGCTCCCTCATCTCATCTTCCGGATCCCACATTCATTCAGAACCCTTACGATGTTGCCACTGGACGTTAACTAACTCTACAACCTTGTTCCTGAAGGTTTTTGTTTTACGGTCAAGAATCACCACCGGTCTCTCAATATAAGTCAGGCGGTTATCCACTTAAATATCCTCCAATGGAACCACTGCGAAATCATCTACTAAAGACTTCTGTAGCTGAGAAACATGAAACATGTTGTGGATTTGATTGAGCTCCTCATGAAGATCCAAGCGATATGCAACCCAACCTACCCAAGCCAAAACCTTTAATGGTTCAATATACTTGGGGCCCAGCTTGCTCCTCTTCCTAAATCGGATGACACCTTTCCAAGGTGACACCTTCAGGAAAACCATATCCCCCACCTGGAACTCAAGATCTGAACGACGCTTGTCGGCATAATTCTTCTGCTGACTCTAAGCTGTCTGGAGTCGACTCCGAACCTGCCAGATCAACTCGGTAGTCTTGAGTACCACCTCGGTACTCCCTATAACCTGCTAATTGACCTCACCCCAAGATATCAGGGTCCTGCATTTCCTCTCATAGAGCATCTCAAATGGAGGATGATCGATGATGGCATGATAAATGTTTTTATACGAAAATTATGCTAACAGAAGATATGTATCCCAACTCCTACCAATGTCCAAAACATACACCCGTAACATGTCCTCTAGATTATGAATGGTCTGCTCGCTAGGGATGGCAACGGGGCGGGTTTGGGATGGAATTTGGTAATCCCGACCCCATCCCCGAATATGAAAATCGATCCCATCACCAACCCGAATCCCAATGGGTACCCATTTACCAAACACTATCGGGTCTGCGGGTATCCCAACGGGGTAATGGGGATCCCCATTTAAGATTTAAATTAAGAATAATTTTGATGCATTGAAAATACAAAACCATTAGACTTAGTGATGCTAGCATAAATTCATATCAAAAATAATTTTGATAATTTACAAAACCATTAAGAGCAGACATATTTATTTTGATACATAAGTGGTTACTAGTGGCAAAAAAAACAATAAAGACACTAGCATTCATAAACCATATTATCACTATTACTCTAAGTACTATAAATAAAAAAAATATCAAAACACTAGCACTACAAATAAACATGAAGCTATCTCGAGAACTTATCTTTAACATATATATATATATATATATATATATATATATATATATATATATATATATATATATATATATATATAATCATATGAACGGTTTCAGGTAACGGGTTTCGGTTTCGGTTTTGGTTTATGGTAATTGGGACGAGTATTTTGTTTACCGTCCCCATAACCAAACTCGCGAAAATTTTCTAAAATCATACCAAACCCAATCTCAGCCCCGATTAACCAATCCAAACCCCACCCTAATATGTCGGTTTTCGGTTTTTACCATCGGGTTCGGTTTCTTTTGCCATCCCTACTGCTCGCTCTAACCATCAATCTGTGAATGGAACGTCGTGCTGAAATACACATAACTACCCAACTCTTCATGGAACCTCTTCCAAAATCTAGAAGTAAAGCTGACATTCTTATCTGAAACCATAGAAACCGACACCCCATGTTGTGCCACAATCTCCCTGCTGTATACCTCAGCCAACTTCTCCGCATAGATACTCTCCTAGATCGGGAAAAAATACACACTTTTGGTAAATCGATCCTCGATGATCCAAATCAAATCCACTCTGCGCTCAGTCCGGGGCAACTTCGTAATGAAGTTCATGACGATCTCCTCCTAATACCAAACGGGATTATCCAACGGCTGCAATTTTTCTTGAGGTCGTTGATGCTCGGCCTTGACTTTCCTGCAAGTCAAGCACCGCTCCACATATCACGCTACATCCCCTTTCATTCAGGGCTACCAATAATCAAAACGAAGATCCCGATACATCTGTTTCGCCTCGGAATGAATGAAGAACCTCAATTTGTGCGCCTCCTCCATCAACACTTGATGCACGCCGCCCCAATAAGGAACCCAAACCCTCCAATGAAAAGTCAACAATCCATGGCTATCATAATCGAAAGAAGCCACTTGACCCACATTACACTTACTCTTTCGGTGCTCTTCCTTCATAATTAACACAAACAACAAGTTTGATGGTATATTGAGTACAAAAAAAAACAAAACAAAAAAAAAACAAAACAAAAAAAAATATATCAAATGAAAACAAACGCAACAGTTAATTACCCTCAAGTTTCATTTTCCCAAAATTAAAAGGCCATCAAGTATGTTTGTTACGAGACTTTTTTGTGGTTGGTATGGCCCTACGGTGGTGACTGTGAACACCAACTCCTACTTAATATGGAATGTCACATCATGGTGAAAATACACTTGGATCATATGAGATCATATCCAATTCTTTTCTTTCTTGTCTCTCATTAATTTTTAATTAATTAAAAGTTATATTTTTTTATTAAAAGTTCAAAAGAATAAGAATGAATATAAAATATGTGGAGTTGTGAGTCTTTTTATATTGATGTGGTTTAAATGCAGATGAAATTATAACATTTTTTTGTTTGAGATATAATGAATATAGCCCATATTTTATATTATTCTTTTGAATTTTTAATAAGTAAAAAAATATATAACTTTTAATTAATTAAAAATTAATGAGAGATAGAGAAAGAAAGAAAAGAATTGGATATGATCTCATATGATCCAACTGTATTTTCACCACGATATGACATTCCATATTAACACGAATATAAAATATGTGGAGTTGTGAGTATTTTATATTGATGTGGTTTAAATGCAGTTGGGATGATGATATTTGTCACTTGCATGATTAACCAAAATTTTTGTTTGGTTCGGACGGTATTCCGAATAGCGCAAGTGGTAGTAGCATTAGCATGGTGTTATTTCGTAACTTGGCCAATACTTACGCAGCATATCATCCTCGTGACCAAAATCAAATATTCAAAACTGTAGATATTAATTAAACTTTGAAATCTGGGAAATAATCAGTTCAAACTGATGACGATGTTGACTAATGTGCATGTGTATTCACATGCATATTAGCTAATGATTACGTATTCAACAATATTTAAGTGACATCATAATAATCTCATCTCATAGTTCATCTCAAATGAATACGTGAATGGTCAATAACATGATCTCGTGCAAAGTTTTACCTTATATGCCACCAAATTTGTACCATGGGATGTGTATATAAACTGACAATTAGATAAACAGATAAGTAGATATTCAAATTCTACATAAGAACATAAGGAGTGTTGCTACAGTAGAACCTGTTACAATATTTTATCATTTATCATGTCTATTTCATTTGAAGCTTTAGCAATGGCAGGCATAGACTACAATGAATGGGGTATGGATTTCGAGGAGTGGGAGCGTCCTGAGATGCGTCCACCTCCACCCCATTTATATGCTGACGATTATGAAGAACATGAACATGAATTAGAAGAAGACGACAGAGTTAAAGAAGTTGCTATGAAGCAACCGAGCTCTGTAAATAAGTTGTGTAGATTTACAGCAGCTGAAAACCAATCGGAAGATGTTTTAGTTGAACGAAATAAAGATGATCATGATGATTATCGAATGCAATCATCAAAAGATAATTAATAAATTCGTGAAGCGTGATCATACTGCTATGAAAGGATTCAAGATGTTGATGGAGTTTATCACGGTCATTATACATGAAACGAGAACCCACACATGATCAAGATTTCAATTTTGTAGTGCCGCTCTAGTTATTTGATTAGGATGTCCAAATGTTCATATATTTTGTAACTGGCATTTGTTATACATCCTATAAGAACTCAGTGATGTTCCTGACTTTTTAAAGGAAAGAAATGGAAAGAAGTTAGAAGAATGATTTTCTCTCCTAACTGTTTTTTCCAATTTAGAAAATTTTGGAAACAAATGAAAAAAATGTTTATTTTCATTATACATTTTTTCAATTTGGGAACATGAAAATATAATTTGTTTTCTCATTTATTTCTCTTCTTTTCTCTCCTTATTTTTTGCCCTTTTTTTTCTTTGATAAAACTCTAAAACATGGTGTTAAAGGACAAGGCCAAAGGATCTACACCGAAAGTTGGATTTCAACGACGAGGATTATTAGGACGATAGCCATTTGTTGCTATTGAAAACCCTACTACAACTCTTAAGCCTCCCTTAAATAGTTAAAAAGAAAAATAAAATGCTTTCAGAGATGACGTGTTGTTGGTGAATGGTAGTTGCAAATTTTTTACATCCCACGTTGATCGGCAATTTTAGAATAGGTACATCGATAACATTGTGTAACTAAAAGTAACCATCTATTACTAAATTTAAAATAATATTAAGTTCATTTTTTAGAATTTATTATTAGTTTTTTTCCTATAAGTATGACTAATTGGCCTGGGCGCCACCTACCACAACATGTAGTTGTATAGTTAGGGACTTTAAGTAGAGGTGAGCAAAAACCGAACCTCAAATCGAAAAACCCGAAAAAAATGCATAAATCGAAACCGAAAAACCGAAACTAAAATGAAAACCAACGGTGCGGTTTTTAGTTTTGCAAAAACCGAAAATGTTTGGTGCGGTGCGGTTTCTAGTCTTGCAAAAACCGCAAAAACCGAACCGCACCATATATATATATATATATATATATATATATATATATATATATATATATATATATATAGTATTGATATTTGTAAGAACAAAGAACTCATGACAATTAAAATTTCTATAAATATAACTTTCTATCTTATTAGAGGATGATTGTATATTTTTAAGCATACATATACTGATATTTACAAGAACAAATAATGTTTATTACATTTTTTAACATTTAAATATGAAGAGTACTAGTGATGATAGTATCATTTTTATGAATACATTAATTGATATTATCGTGTGTACCTGTGAAACAAATATTATATTTAATTCATATTATATTCAAGTATTAGAAGCATGTTGGATGAGTGGTTATGTCATTTGATTTCAAACCAAGATGTGGTGGTATCATTTCATCTTTAAGATATCATTTGGGCTTAAATTTTTTCAGCATTACAAGAGTATCCTCGATCGCCTTTGAGATAAAACATTCATCATTCTCACATTTTATATAATGGAATCAATTTGGCGCTCCTCATCTCTATATAAAGTTTCTCAAGAAATGATTAACACTCCTCATCTAAGTCAAAGTAACTCATTGAGTTCCTGAGTTTTAGTAAAAAGGCAAAACAAAAACCAAATTAAAAAATTGACAAAAAACCGCAAAAGAAAAACGAACCACAAAAAACCGCAAAAACCGAACCGCATAAAAACCGAACGGTGCGGTTTCCAAATTTCAAAAAACCGAAGTTATGGTTTTTTGTTCGGTTTTGGCCGAAAACCGCACCAAACAGCACCATGCTCACCTCTAACTTTAAGTATGAGGTATCAAGTTTAATCCACGAACAATTCATTTTTTGGGTTATTGATTAAACCAATTTATCAATAAAAATGAGATTCTATTTCACTTTTTTTAAAACCAACCACTCATGGATAGTTCTATGTGTTTATCGATGCCTAATCCTAATATGTGCATCATCCAAGTCATATTAGCATGACATACTCTTTCTATGGCTCCTCGCTTCTTAAATCGGTGTTTAAAACCAAACTTTTCCTCATGTTAATAGATAGGGAAATTTTGGTGAGACCCCATGTTGATCTAACTCCCGATCCATTAGTGGGATCCCGGCGGTCCGGAAGGGACCACCATGGATCATTTCTTCCTGAGACTTCATACATCCCTTATCAGTGGTTTCACAACTATCTCTCAAGCACATGTTTAGGTTCACTTTCAATGAGAAAATAAAACGGAGCACCTAACAACGTATCTTTGCATACCATAAAATCCTAATTTTTTTTTTGTTCCTTCATATATAAATGGGACCTAACTTCTCATAGAAGTCTTTATGGACAAATGGGATCATTACGAATGGGGCCAAAAGAAACTTAACTTCAAGCAAACGCAACTTTTGATCTACAATGAATTTAGAGGCCTATAATATTGACTTGACACAATTACTCTTCTCTCCTATCTTCGTATCATACATACATGTGCAAAGCATGACTTTAGTAGTTTAGGTTTACTTTCATTTGGCTTGAATACATCTTTGCCTAGTTGACAGTTGTTTTCTATTTTTCCTAGATTACGGGTTAGTTATTTTCCTTGCAGTTTCTGCTCTCGTTTGTAAAACTATATGGCAGATTGTCTTTACTAGTTTTTCTTATGCATTAATATATGATATGTGCATATTTAATCATATATTTTGTGCATTATCTTAATATTTCTAGCTATAATTATGCTCATTATAGGACAAAATGTGCTTAATTCATTTAAATTATTGTTTTCCCAAGGTGGTAGAGCTTGGGGTGCTAGTGGAATGGAGAAATAAACTAACTTGGTTAAGGGTGAAGGACATTCATGTGCCTCCAGTAATTGATTGGGATTGGATTAAAGAAGTAAGGCTTGAAGGAGTAGCACCCTATCTTACCAAAGTGTTTGAAGAAGGTGGAGTTAGACTAGCATGCATGGGTTGGAGGAGATTAGTTCGTCTTCAAGAGTCGCTTTATAAGGAATTATGTGTTGACTTCTTTGCTATAGCCCAATTCATAAAGAGAAATGAAGATGATGACACTAGGAATTTCACATTTTGTCTTGGGGGAGGAGGCAGGAGTATAGTTTGGTGGAGCTTGTCTGGCAGTTGGACCTTTGCAACCAATCTGTGGCAATGAGTGAGGGATTTCCTATTTCTCTTGATCATTGCCACAAAATTTTTCCTCATGGCATTGTAGATTCCAAGCGGTGGATTTGACATCTTCTTGAAGTTGGCAAATACAATAAATAGCAATGTACTTTAAAAGTATATTGCTATACTTTATACGACGCTTTTGTGTTTTCAACTTATAAAACAAAACAATTTATCTTGAGATTGTGAACTATGGCAATATACTTTGATGTACATTACTATTTTAAAGTAAAAATAATAATAACTCATTAAAATTATCTTCTATGTTTAATGATTTTAAAATAATAATAATAATAATAATAATAATAATAATAATAATAATTGTTACGCATTTGTTTTTTTTCTTAAAAAGTAAAAAATGACCAAAATAATTTCTAAAAATGTTTTATTTCAAGAAACATTTGGATACACAAAGTACTACTTTTGTATGATATCACAAAGGAGATGAAAGAAACTATACCGATATCATGACCATGTACCATTTTCCATGACCTTATTAGTAGTCATTAATTGGTTTATTAGCAAAGCATAAATACAAAAAAAGGTTTTATGTCAAATCTTTTCAAGAGTTCGATCTTCTTGTTGGTATTTTTCTTTTCTTTTAAGAATTCGTATGGAGCAATTCTGCTATAACCCCTATTAATTTATTCATGCATAATATAAAAAGTTATAATATAATCCCTTGACTTTTAAATAATACTATGTTGGTATTTTTGTTTTTTATTTTTTTCCCAATAAGTGTTTATACCTATATAATTACTTTTTTTTCTTTAAATCATTTTCTATATTTATTTTGTTAATTTGAATCATAAATGCATTTATAACATTTACATAACACAAAAAATTAGTATTAAAAAGATTAATTTAAAAAGGTAAAAAAATTAATCTTTATCATTTTTTTACAATAACAATGTAAACCTTATACAAGTATTTAATCATATTTAAAAATAAATTTAAAAAAAAAATAGTTGCTATAGAATTCCCATAAGTTATTTGTTATATATATATATATATATATATATATATATATATATATATATATATATATATATATAATATATATATATATATATATATATATATATATATATATATATATATATATATATATATATATATATCATATTTTAACAAAATTTTAAAAAAAAGTAGTTGCTATAGAATTCCCATAAGTTATTTGTTATATATATATATATATATATATATATATATATATATATATATATATATATATATATATATATATATATATATTATATATATATATATATAACAAGTAATCTCATTTTTCATAAAATAAATAGGAAGTCCATAGTAATAATAAACGATCACAATCACTCTATCATATACTATTTATTAATTATAATATTAATATGAATCATATATTTATTTATACATTTTTAAATAATATATTTTTTATATATTTATATGTTAAAAAGCTTATATATTATTTTATATTACACTTTAATCTTATAAGGGTTTTCATGGTTATTTGTTTTTCTTTAAAAGTCGATATTCATGTTATGTTACTAAGCAACATCCATCAAAAATGGCTTATTTACTGGGATTAGACTTCCTGTGGTATCATTGGGCAATTGAGTTATCGAAACAAATGTCATAACTAGAAACAATATCAAACATCGTTGTTTTATTTCAAAATTGTCTTTAACATCTTCAGACATAAAAAAATTTCATTAAAATTCAAAAGAAGACAATTTTCCATGGTTGTTCAAAAGAAGACAATTGTCTTTGCTCCTATTTTTCTGAAAATCCCTCTTCTTCAGGAATAAACGATAATTTGAAGAGACTCATCCTAGGCTTAGTCAAAGCCATCAC